TTATATATAGATATAGTATGGTTTTTAGTATAGCTAGTCTAATATATTATATATCCATATATAAATACCTATAATTTCATTATTATAATATAATATATCCTTAATATATCCTTAATATAAAAATCCCTTTATAACCCTAGACTTTTAGGAGCCTCCTCTATACTAAAGATAAAGTATATAATACTATTTAGGTATTAAACTCAAAAGGCAAAGAATTATAAAGGCCCTAATAATCGCAAGACTTTATAAACTTAGGTAGATTTAAGTATTATAAAAGCATTGAATTTAGTAGCCTGACTTTTAAATTACATAAGAACTAATCAAAGAGTATTACTTTAAAGCATTAATTATAAATTCCAAGTATATATATATCCGTAAGGAAATAAGACCCAAAATAATACTAAGCTAATTATAAGACATAGGAAAAAGCACATTAGATATTAGGCCCATTTTTTCTCAACTACCTTGACCTCGGCGGATATTTATGTGTAATTTATTAGACCTTATATAATAGGTTCGCTCAGGAGAAGTAAAATTAATTAGCCTGGGAAGTTTAATAATAATAGTTGAACTTCCGTCCGGGGTAATAGGCAGAGTACTAGTAATAGCCCGGGTGCCTTGGGTTTCACCCGCAAAGCTAAAGACATTATACCTATTAATTCTCTATATCTAATAAGGAAGAGAAATAGCATATTCATACCTCTAATATACCCGTTACTGCGGAGTAATACTTATATAGTCCATAAGATTAACCATAGTCCCCTCTACTAGAGGAGAGAATAGTAAAATTAAAGGAGGATCTAATAGCCTACTACTATTATTATTATTATTACTATTAGGATTAGCTTTAGTAGCACTTTTAGTAGCACTTTCCGCATTATCTTACGGCTCCCAGAGGTCGGTAAGTAAAGAAGAATCCTAGTATATATAAGTTAATTAAACCTAAAAACAAAAAAGAGTCTATAGAAGAAATAAAGAGTAGGAGCCAGAATTAAAGGAGAGAATTATATATATGTCTTTATTTGCCTACCGGTTTATTAGATCCCTCCTTACTCTCAAAGTCTCACGCCTACGCTAGCGGGTAATACTCTCCTGGGCTCTCTAGGCCTTCTTAGTCTATTATTTAATCTCCTCAAGTTACTACGCCTTCTAAGTATTTTCCAGCTCTTTACAAGTAACTTTAAGACAGAGATCTTCATATAGAGTCTCCTTCTGAGTATTTTCCAGCTCTTTACAAGCAATTTCAAAATAGATATCTTCATATAAAGTCTTATTCTGGTATAAAATAAGGAAAATCATCCAGATACCCTTAGGGCCCAGATATATACCATAGCAAGAAAGGTTAAAGATAGTTTAAATAAAACCTAGCAAGACCATAAGTTCCTGGGCTCTTTTACTATTAGGACTAGTATAGAATACTAGTTCATTCGCATTATTAATAAATTAATAATAGCAGATAGGTCCGCTAATATAAAGAGAGAAATAAGGAAATAACTACTAAGAAACTATATCGGAAAGAATAAAAAAGACTCAATTATTTATTTCAAATCAAAAGCCACCTATTAAAAAACATCTATTAGAATTTGTATAGAGAATCTAGTAAAAGAAATAGGAGAAAACTTACCACCGACTTCTTTAGAAAGTTAGATAGTTCTTTGCTTAGCTCTCTAATTCTTTATATTATTAAATACCTACTTGCGGAGAACTAGCTATAAAACTACGGTCTATAATTCCATAAGACTAGATCCGGCCACATTTTGATTCATGAGACCTTAAAGGGCTTCAGGTAGCCTATTACTAGTATAAGGAGCTATGGCCTGGGCAGTGGCCTAAGTAACTCTCGCATTTGCAGCCCGTTAAGCTTATATAGTAGTATAAGTACTACTAGAAAAGTAGTTAGGTCAAGTAATATGGCTCGTAGTAAAAGGAAATACGAAAGGAAGTAGTTATGGGGCCATTAGAGCAAGAGGAGCCTAGGATAGAGCAGAACTAGTACCTGGCGGCTATATAGTAATAGTAACTAGAGGAACAGGTATAGTAGATATTCCTAGAAGAAAAGATATGGGATAAGAATACTAAGAAAAGCTAGGGATCTGAAATATCCCAGGTATAAAGAGAGGGGCAGATATAAACGGAATTCCAGAGCTATAAGATTCAAGTCCACTAGTATTACTATTCTGGGCAAGTAAAGCAGTGGCCTCTATATTATATTCATTATTAGTAAATCGACAGAACTCGTAATATTAGATATTATTATACTAGCGTTCGGCCGCGGGATATATAATATTAGGGCAGGTTTTGAGAAACGGTAGTACTATTTTAAGAAATAAGAATTTAAGGATATAGAATATTCATATAATAGATAAACTTAATAATTCTATTAGTACTACTTTCAAAAGTAAGAAAGAGGTTTCGAAAATAATATATTTAATAATAAATAATATCTATCTTAACATACCTAGTTACTTCATAACCGGCTTGTTTAACTATCCTATATTATTAGGAGCATTACTAATAAAGGGCCATTCCTGGGTAAAGTCCTAGATTATTAGGAACTATACGGGTATTCTTCCGGCCTATATATTATTCACATACTCTATATTTATTAGGATAACTTACTTAAGAATCCCATTCCGCACAATAGCGGTATTATATCTACTAGTCGGCTTCTCGAACTCTCCTAATATTGGCAGCTGCCCTAAGGCTATATATGCCCGGACTATATATCGGAGCTAGTAATAAGCTTAAATATACAGTCGGTCACCATTTCTATTAGTATCTCCTATATAAATATCGGCCATATTTATACCATAAGATATAAGCTTCTAATAGTACTACTCTAGCATTTCTCTCGGCAGAAACTCGTTAATATCTATATTAGTATATGAGTAAACTATTCATATAGAGCTATACAAGGTTATATTACTTACCCTAAACTAAGTAATTATTAAGGATTATATTACAAAGCTCTATATCTATAGGGTAACCCTAGCGCTATGCCCCGCCTGGGGGCCTCATATATAGTCTAAATAGCTTACCGGCTACCATATTAGGCCTAGATCTGTCTTTTCTAATCTTATAGATATTTCACAAGTCCGTAAACCTATATATTTTATTTTGGATCCGCTATATATAAAGTACTAGTAAAGTAATCCGGTCCTATAGGTATTAGTAATTATAACCCCCGGTATAGGCCAGTTCCTGAAAGTAGTTCTATATATACCAATTAGAATTAGTTATATAATCCGGTACTATAATACTAGACCTAATAGCCTTAATAAAAAGCGGTATAATTATTAGTATCTAATACTCCCTCCTAATAATAGAAAGAATGAGGGGCAGATATAGGGAAACGGAATTACTTATATACTACCGGTATAGCTAGTTCTTCTAAAGCTCCTGCTACCAGGATTCAACCCGCTAATTCTCGATGCTTTTCCCAGAAATAAAGCAGTTCTCTATATATATAACTAACGGATCGGCTATCTGCGAGAATGCGAAGTATACTTCGGTAATAAGAAGGAGTTCAGAGCCTCAATTAGCCCTAAAGAAGTAAGGGTAGTAGCTTATTTGAGTACAAATCTAAAGATACTACTATATAACCGAATAGGTAGTCTAATTAGAGATTCCGATATATACCCAGATAATATTATATAAATAAGTATTAATACAAGCATATATCTCGATCCCAAATAGTAATAGCTTATTATATCTATTAATTAACTAAATCCAGTCCGGCCCAGGTATAATATATTCTCCCTTCTTAGACTATATCCGTCATATTCGTAGTATAATTACCTCGGGATCCAGGAGTCATAATATCGCATATAAGCTCTCCCTATAAATAATAAAATACGTTAGTAAACAAGGCCCTAACCTTCCAAGCTAGGGCAAAATAGTAAAGTATAGAAAGACTAACCGGGTTACTAGTAAACCTTATTAACGGAAGTATACGTATAAATACCGCCGTCCATAACCTATAACCCGCCTATTATTTAGCTCACTCTATAGTATTATAAACAGTTACTCGTCCGCCGCTTGCCTATCTATTATAGTCATACGGCAAATAAGACTAAGCTTCTTGCATATACGGACAACTCTAGTAATTAAAGCTATATAACCGTAATCCTCAAGATCCTCAAGCATTTCCTTATCTATATCTCCCAGATAATACAGGATTATAATCTACACACGAAGGAAAGGCATATCTACTATTTGAGTACGTATTTAGACGTTCTATTCTTATAGTTACCGTCGGACCATATACGGATCGACTAAGATTCTATATAAATCTTTTAATCTATTCGTAATTTCTTCTTAATTAATGTTCGTACGAGCCTATTTAGTAATAGCTTCGCAATATGGTAATAGATTTATTAAAAGTCGTGGCATTATTTTAATAAAATCCACCAAGTTATTTTAATAGGGATTAAGTTCAGGATACACTTCACTATCGCGACGTACTTTCTAGTAACGTAAGCGCTAAAAAACTCGAGTAACGTTACCCCCACGTGATTTTATTAATTAATTACCAAAAAAAAGTAATTAGCCGGCTTCTCAGTTATTTTAATAGTTTAATTTTCTTATTTCTAATCTCGGGAATATTAAGGAAGTTATTAGACCCTATTAATAGCGTTATCCTAGAAGGGCTTATAGCCTGTGGTCACCTGACCACAGTAATTTGCAATAAATACTCAATTTTACATTATACTACCCGGCCCAATTTTGGTACGATTTCACGCGGTAGTATGGGCTCTCACTTCGTTAATTAGACAAGCAAGTAGCCTTACTATTATTGCGTTATCCAAGCCGAAAGTCACGTGTGGGTGCTATACCCCTAATTAGGAATTCTGCCTTGGGGAGGAGGGGGGTGTGCGGGGCGCCAGTGCGAAAATCAGAAAATCAGAAAATCACTTTTCGCTTCTCGGATTTGTCCGCTAGCTAGCTGTGGGCCTCAGTAGCAGAGCGACGACGACCGCCAGAAAAATGACTCTCCTATCAAATTTCCGACGCCTAATACTTCAGCCAAAGGAGACAGGGCGAATGATGGCCACACCAACGCGAAATATACCTCTTCCGACAGGAGATATGTCTTTTACTTCTTCTCCGCACGAGGCAAATCACCAACGCCATTACCTACCCGCCATAGAGCATGCAAGGCTGGAGGCGGCCTTAAAGGGTAGACCTTTGCCCAATGTCCTCCCGCACAGCATTGAAGCCGGCAAAGATCCATACTACATCGGAAACGCATATAGGCGACTGCAGTACAACCCATGGCACTTAGATACGCATGTTTTTTTCCCCTTCCTGCAGCAGCAGCAGTGTTAAGCCAGCCAGCTAATAGCCCCCAGCTCTGAACGGCCTTACCTAGACTATATCAGAAAAGTGATGCGCGGCTGGCCACATCTTGAGTATCTTGCAGACTGGATGCAAATCACTACGTCGCCTCCAAAGTGGAAGCATCTGCCAAAGACCAGCCGCGACATGCGAGCGCAGAAGACATGTGTGGCCATTATTGATTTCTCTGTGGAAGCCAACGAAAAGCCAAAAACCACCTTTATCGGAACCATCGGGGAGCTCAGAGAGCTTTTCGATGATCCTCAGTTCAGCCATGCACCTGATCATCCCCGGCTTTACATTATGGAGGATCTCTCTCGGGACATGGTTGAAGAGTTTGGTTCTAGGTATGACGTTGATCCTTTGTTGTGGCGCGGTCATATCAGCGATTATATGTGGTACAAGACTAAAGATCCTTGGGTCGAACTTGACGAGCTACCGCACCTAGTCAGAGAGAAGACCTTCTACAACTTCCGTTACATACATCCCCGCTACTTCGAGGACAAGGAGTCTCACAGCAGGGCGACAATTGAGGCCGGCAAGATGAACGTCCTCAGGAGCCTAGATAGTGACCAATACTCGGAGAGACTGCCTGACAGCGAGGAACGAGTCTTCCTGTGTCGAAGCAAGGCTTCTCTATGGATTCAGCCGCGGCGTAATGGCAAGAATAACACTTTTGGTATGTAGGTCAATCGTCAAAGTACATAAGCATTCCACTAATCGAGATTAAGGCATTCTAGTTGTCGACCCGACCTTTCAGGAAGGCTACCCGTTGTGGTCTGGGTATCGTAACTTTGAGGAAACGCCAGAGCTCCAGGCTATAAACTTGACGGGACCGCCTAGAACATCACTCTTTCAAGACGTCGTCTATTGGGCCTCGAAGATGGGGGCAAGTGACTTGGATGCCCTCGCAGCAAATCCCCGAAATTTGGCGTTGTCCATCCTGACTATAATCGCCTCAGAGTGGCTGACCGTTCTGCAATACTTGCGCACACGTCTCACCCAGCTCGAATGGATGTTAGAGATTCCAGACTTCCGCGCGCCCTACCGACTTGACGAAGTCCTTGGTCGGCTACATCCCTGGCACCGATATCTCCCATTCTACCGGCGATGGGTGCGCGATGTCCTCCGGAGTATCTTGCACAAAGACGACCTCGATATGCAATCCCAGCATAACCAGGCCCTCTTTAAGCTGCGGGAGGACTTCCTAGTCATCCAAGAGGAATTTGAGATCGCGCAGGCGCAGCTGGACAACATGACGAACCTTGTCACAGCAATCATCTCGCTCGAGGAGAACAAGCGCATGGCGAACCAGAACAGCAACGTGACGCGGTTGACCTACCTTGCGGTTGTATTTGTGCCCATGTCGTTTGTCACGGGCCTCTTCAGCATGACTACCGACGTTTCGGCCCTAACACAGACATTCTGGATATTTTTCATAGTAGCTATCCCACTATCATTTGGGGCTCTCGCTGCTGCTCAGTGGATCTACCTTAGGGAATGGGTGAAGAGGCAATGGCGAAAGTGACTGCGCAGGAAATGGAGTTTGGATAGCCTATAGAATAGCAAAAGCAGTGAGGCTCTCCCGCATAAGATTAGTTTTAGGGGTTGTAGCGATCTTGCTCGTTATTGCGGATAGAGTTGATATTGGCGCACCCAACTTGGACAACGAATTTACGAGAACATCTGACTTAGTATCATATTGTCATTGCCCCAATAGATGTGGGTTTAAATAGCAGTGATGTCCAGATACGTGACTAATCTCCTGCAACATCTACAATGGGGAGATCAAGGTCCACACGAGTGGGCACGGCTTCGCTTTCTACAGACGTTTGACAGAGAGAGTTGTATGGGGACTGGAGACTACATTAACGACACTCCTCAAGAGGCGAGAAGGTTCGCAATCGATCGACCTTATTGACTATTTAATCGTGACCATTGTCATCGGTAAGTCATTCCAAAAGTCAAGCTCTCTAAGTCCTAGGACAATTCCAGCTCTAGTATAGAACTCCCCTTCTTCCGTGTTGACCTTTCGTAGCAGAAGCGCAGCATACGTCGATAGGAGGAACACCGTAAACTTTTCCTTTGATTGCCCTATGGCCACCTCATCGTCTTCAATCCAACTGTCGTTATCTTCATCCAGAGAGCCACTATCGCCCTCCGGCAGGTCGATCGGACTAAAATGCTGGTGGTCGATTTGGTAATCTAGATTTACTGATACTGAGGGCCTGGTAGAAATCAGGGGTATTTTAACCCAAAAGTGCTGGGTCTCTCCGTGAGACTCATCACTCCTCATCAAGATTAGCGTGGCCTCTTGCTTAAGACCGCTGAGGATGAGGAACCCGCTTTCGCATTCCCCGAACTCGTCGTCTCCCTTCCACTTAATGTGGCAGTCAATAAGATCAAACAGCGGCTCGTCTTCTTCCGAAGAACGTAACAAGTAGTAAGAGGGGTGCGTAACTGACGCCCACGACCAGCTCGGAGCAACAAAGTTGCCACTCGCCAATGCCTCCCATGACTCGCGCGTGTGTTTTTCGCCGCTGGCATGCCACGTCAGGTCCTGCGCTAGGGTTTCTTTCCACAGTCCCGCAAAGTAACTCCCACACTCCGACGGCTGGTACTGGCGCGCGATACCCCCAATGGCCCGCAACCTATCCCTGGGGAATTTTAGGTCTAGTCGACCATAGTCCGATACCCGGTCGCGAAACGACTTCCATTTAAAGCGGAGGTCGCCTTGTGGGACTTTAACATCTCGTGGGGCCGTGCTTGTACACAAATATGCCGTCTTCATCCACTTTCCCCCGGCTAGTTTGTTCCGTTGGCCTTGCTTGACCGTTGCTACGGGGGGGCCCGGTTGATCAAGGAAGCCGCACTGACACGCGAAATCGGCCTCGCACTCCCAGACCAGGTCGTTGTCGCAGAAGTGAATGATACGAGGGGATAGTATTCTCTCTTGATATATCCATGCCCGTGTGAGAAGGCGTGGTTCTTCGAATTCTTTGGTCATAGAAAAGGGTTTGTGGTCGAATCGTTTTCTTATAAAAACGGGAACGGTCTCTCTGGCTATGACCACTTCTGGTGTTCTTTGGTCTGCGGTGGGTTGAAATAAGGTAAGCTGGTGGCTATTCGTGAACGGTTCAGGCTTCAGAACCCCCGAGTCGTTATCTATTGCACTGGTAGCCGCGATGGTGATGTACGAATTCTTATAAATTTCCGCCATATTGGAAGCCTCGGCGCGCCAGATTTCCCTATCGTCTTGGATGAGACACAACGAGTCGATCCATAGGTAGCGGATGCCCAACAGCCTCGTGATTTGGATCGCGTCCTTGTATGTAGCGGAAATATTCTCCCACGGGATCTTTTGCAGGAAATCCTTCCGGTTAGTTGTTGTCGTGCAGATAGGATCCGTGTTTCCCCAGCAGTGACTGAGCGTTGCCCATTCCCCCTTTTTATTTTTCTTTGGCTCATAGAGGCGGACGCGCGTCTCGAGAGGCTCTTCTTCCGGATACCAGAGATCCAAAACTCTTTTAGGGAGGAGAAACTTGGTTTTGGTAGCGTTATAGCATGGATGCTCTTGCTCGTCGTCGCATATCTTCATCTGCTTTTTCACCCAAGCTATGCTTGCTGAAAGGTTCGACTTGGAAGCTCCGGTGACATGAGGTCTCGTTGGGATGCCGAACAAGGGTGCTGAGAAAGTCATCATTAGCACTAGCGCTCTTCTAAAATCCGGGCAGGACATAAAAACATTAAAGGCGAGTACCTACGATCAGCTCCCCTTCCTGACCTGTAAAATTCATATGTTACCCAGTGATCTCCATCATCCTCTTTACGCAGACACTGGAGAAAGAGTTGGCCACCATTGTAAGGTTTCTCGAGGCGCAAGTTAATTGAATTGCCCGTCGCCCTAGCGTCGAGTGTTGCAAATAACGCCGCCTGCCATATCATGTCGCACGCCATACATTTCTCGGCCGATTTCTTCAGATCTATGAGCGAGATTTCCCAATTCCATACTTTCTTGTCACCACTAGAAGGATGCGAGTGACAAAGCTGGCAGCCGCATATAGAACATGGACTTCCAGTAGCCTTGTGGCGGACATATCTGTCGATTTCGAGGTAGGTATCCTCCCCATAGTAGTGGTAAATTGTCTTCTTGAAGGAGTCGAGGGGAAGGTTGTCCGGCATCCATTTATCATCAGATTCCTCACCGTTTTGTGGGTCCATAACTAGCTGCGGTTCTCTGTCCTTACGTCCTCCTACTCAAGTTATTGCGAGTACGAGGCGTCACGTTAGCGTATTTGGGTATGGATTCTTTGACGGTGCCTCTTTCCTAAAGAGAAGATCGAGAGATGAGAGATAAAGCAAGAGTAATAACTTGGGCGCAAGTTATATTAGGGTAAGAGGTCGCTGCCTAATTCGCTTAGCGATTAATGCCTAACCTAACCTTAACTTGATTTGTGTTGCAATGTTTTGGAGGTTGACGACTTAATTTTTCAGCTTACGCAGGGTAAGCACTCTATATATACATCTGGTATATAAACTACAGTATACCAGCGTATACTCAGTTCCAATACGCCCCTTACGCTATATACTGTGACCGTATAACGCCCCCAGAGGGTGTCTTTTGCCTGCTTAGCGCCCCTACGCTAATATACCCTCGAGTCTCTGCCCTTATACCCCCTAACCCCTAGCCCCAAGCTAGCCAAACACGCCCTTATCTCTTGCCCTCCCTCAGCGAGGTTCCAAGGGAAACTGTCTTCCCGGGCCGGTGCTGCTTCCGCTCGTACTATTGCAGGTTATGAGGATAGGCTTTCGTGGCGACCGACCGACCGACCGACCGACCGTGGTTCGCAATCGTCGCCCCTGAGTCGTACAATATAGCTCTCTCTCCTGCAAGAGCTATAAGGGAAGCCGTCAGTTGCAACACGCGCAGCGGTGAGCATTTGCTGCTCGCGCATTCCGGGCCCATGACCTGTTGCAATGTTTTGGAGGTTGACGACTTGATTTTTCAGCTCACGCGGGGTAAGCACTCTATATATACATCTGGTATATAAACTACAGTATACCAGCGTACACTCAGTTCCAACAAATACTCTCATACAATCATAACATATTCTCAGTCATCTTACTTCTATTAGTCCACGAATCGTAACGGAAGAACTCGTGCCCAGGTTCGAGATACTATTCGAAATGCACGCGGACATGATAGCGCAACTATTAAAACAGACCCCAGGCAACTCGAATCAGACACTGCCAACTTTATCCATGGAGAAGCCTAGTATTAAGCTCTTGGTCGCTTCTGTAAGAGAGGTCTTATTACAGGCAAAGTCTTCCATAGCCGAAAGTGAGGGTGGATCTGATAGTAGCTCTGTCGTCACAATGATTCTTCATCGCCTAGAGATCCTCGAGGAAGACATCAGAGGTAACGACTTAACTCCGGGCAATCCCACCACGCTATATCCCCTTTCAGATCAGCACAGAATTATTGAAGACTGGATCCCCTCTGTTTCTCCAGAAAGCACTACAAGTCACCTCTACTCCAGGTCAGCTACTACCCGAACTCAAATGACGCCAACGCAGTCAACTCCCTCGGTTTCAACTGTCGAAGGGCAGACGATTTTCACCCAAGAGGATTCCGATGATGACGACGAAGAATTTGAAAGCGAGATTCTGAGAGCCTACTTGGACAAAGGGTTCGCCAGCTATGAAAACGGCAATTGGGAGATTGCTGAACCGTTTTTACGCCGTGCAATGGATACTTCAAAAATCCTCCCACTAAATAAGATTCCCATCCAGGAATTTCAACTGGCAGAAGCTCGGTTTAAGATCGCTGTTTGTGCTTTCCATTAAAGAAAATATAACGAAGCCGAAGTAGAACTCTCTTTCTTCAGAAGAGCTACATGTTCGCCGGACGACAAAAGAAATGTCCTGCGACGTATCCTATCATTTTACCTATTCGCTGAGATCTTTTATCAAAAGAAGAAGCTGGAAGAAGCGCAAAAGTCCTACCGGAAAGCACTTACTATGAAGCGAAAGCTTTTAGACACCACAAGTTGGCTGGAAGCGAATTGTTTTAGCCTTTTGGCAAATGTTTCCGCTGCTCAAGGGGACAATCTTGCGGCAGAGGTATATAGAGATAAAGCAGAGGCATCTGGTACCCAAAATGCTTCCCTGGACGAGGATCCTGAAATCAAAGCAGCCTGGTTCGCTAGCATCATCACCTCTCGAACGGGAGTTGGTATTGTCAGTGACATAATTGAGTTGTCAGTTCTCCCCTCTTTCGTCAATTTTTTCCATGCTCCGTATAAGGAAGTTTTTTATCGGGTCAGATTATAGGCTAATGCATTATATCTATTTAGCTCTGATTACCAAATTTATGATAATTTCTTAAACAATGAAGGCCGAGATGGAATCGTGGCTATATACGCCCATGACCTAGCTTGGCCTGTAGATGAAGAAGCAGCTCACCTAAGTATAACCAGGGAATTGGCCGAGTAAGTCCTTGCCTCTCCTGAATTCAAGTTCGTCAGATAATAGCTTTATAACTGTGCTCGAAAGTAGTAACAATATCTAGGTATAATTTGCTATTTCCCAGATAACATTTGTCCATTTAGTAGCAGCATCTCAGGTTTTTGGCTCCCCGTGGTTCGGTATATACGCACGGGGGCAGACTACTAGCAATTCGCCCCAATTTTAAATCCGCCAATGGCGAACTGCCATTCCGATTAAGCCAGTTCAAAGCAGCTCTCGAACTTCACGCTGAATAGAGACTGGCTCCTCAGAGAATGTAAGGTGTGCAAAGTGGGGCGGCTTGGAGGACTAATAATATCCGAGATTAGAAAGAGAAAATCTACATCATTAAGAATGGAGTTGGGAGCATTGGAATTTAGTAGTTGATGTGATAGATAACATACAATCTCTTTTTCTTATGAAACACTATAGCTTCAATAGAATGTGATCCTTTGGAGGTGTTGACGACTTCACCCCTTTTGTATTTTAGGGTCATTCGCTAAAAGCCCCTGAATCGCAACCGAGCGGAATGGGTCGGGGCTTAATTTGGCCGACCTTCCGACGACATGTCTTTCTTCCTTTCCAACGGTCTGGTCTACTTGCAGCAACACTCTTCTCCGCGAACAACTGTATAAGATTCCTTGAAGCTACTTCCCTGGTTCAATTGTCCCCAATAGTCTTGAATATGGCCTCCCTTGGGCCAGCTTCCCTTTCCAACCTCGAAAATCCTATGCACGTCGGTTCATTCAGGGCATGTGCTACCTGCTCCAGGGCGAAAGCGAAATGCGTTCCTGATTCAGAAGGGAGTGGAAAATGTCAAAGGTCTTCCATACTCATGCCCTACCTTCCTCACTCGGTGCTGATATATGCAGGTGCCGCCGATTGAAGAAGATCTGCGAGCCAGCTGTCCTTCAGGCTCGGTCTCTCCCACGGAAACGGAAACCTCAAAGCCAGTAAGCTTAGACCTAACGAATATCTGCTTTACTGTTGAGACTGACTCGGTGATCAAGTCTTTCTAAGAGCCGCGTTGGGAGGTTGGAGGAGAAACTTGAAGGGTTGGTGTCCATCATCTCATCGACACAAGATCTCACGTCGTCACAATCGACTGATCCAAGTCGGTCATCGCTGAGTGACCCAATTCCTATGAATCTAACGACAAATTCTTTCGCTTTTCCTGCTCTCTCTATGAGAGCAACAAATTCGCAAAATCAGGTCCAGGGCGGGCTGCCAGCCTACCAAAACGACACAGCTGCGGGGCAATTCGCACCAAATAAACCGACTCCATCTCTGGCGACGATTCATGGATTGAATAACTTCCCAGCCTCAAATTCCACTAATTGGGTCAATTTTATGCCTAGCTTTGCCGAAGGGGATGCACTTCTCACGATTTACCGAGATCAGATGACTCCTCATTTCCCGTTCATCGTAGTTGAGGCGTCGGTATCTGCAGAGACTCTGAACCTTGAGAAGCCGTTCTTCTATCTTTGTATCATTGCAGTCACAAAACTCAGCTCTTCCCACCAGAAAGCTCTCGGCAAGCTGATCATGCAGCAACTAGGAGAGAGATTGTTTGCAAGAGGCGAGCGGAATCTTGATTTGCTTCTTGGTACTCTTACTTATGCCGCATGGTTCGTGTTCCCTACCTATCTCTCGCCTGTGTCTGGGCGAGCTAATCTTCACCAGGTGCTTCTATAACTGTTGGAATATACCACAAGTAACCAGTCTCATCTCGGCAGCCAACGTTTTGGTGTTGGACTTGGGCCTAGCTCGACCATTACCACCAAAGAAAGCGCCGAATAGAAGTGTTTTCTACGAAGCATTACGAGATTCCTGCTCCATGGGTCTCTTAGCTTGGACGAAGGATGCGAGGACCCTTGAAGAAGAGCGTGCATTCTTGGGGTATTACTTTCTCTCTTCCGTGTAAGATGCTGTACTGCGTTCAATTATTTCATGACAGGACTGATATCAAGTAGAATTCCTCTTTATCTGCGGAGAATGGATCCGCCCCAAAAGTTCACTCCTCATGTTGAGGATTGCGTCAACAGGCTCGAGAGTCTTGGTGATCATTCGAATGATAGACTGGCAGTGGCACTCGTTCGACTTCAAGCGATTCTGGAAAGGGTATGTCTCCATCTTGTTGCAATGCACAACATCTCTGAAGGGACTTTCACTCCATTCTGACAAATCATTTGTACATCAAGATTCACCAAACTTCGTGGCAAACAAAACCCGAGCCTCCAGAGGTCAATGCTAGCACATTGTTCATCGTAGCATCCGTCGAGACAGAATTGAAACAATTTCGTAAGAACTTGCAACCAGACCAAGCGAATAATGGTATGCCAATTATCTCTTTGATGTCAATATTTTGTCTCTCTCGTATCTGACATCGATTTAGAAACGATTATATTACATTGTCACCTCATTGAAACATCGATATACGAAGCTGGTCTATGCCAATCACCTCCAGGCGCTGACCCCATCCCGAGCTTCAAACGCCTGGAATTGCTCTGTGCTTGCCTTGAGGCGATAAAATCCTACTTTAATGTCTTCTTCTCGATCCCGCCAGCGACATATATTTCAATATCCTTGTCTACCTGGTCACACCTGTCATATGCCCTGAACCTCCTTCAATTGTTATCCATTCACCAGCATCCTGGTTGGGATCTAGCGACAGTGAGAGCGGTAATTGACTACAATGTCACTTTCAACCACCTGCATCAGAACCTGGAGGGTCTAATTACATTACCGGGATTCGAAAGGTTAGATGTCTTCTCGCGCGCTGCAAAATGGATGAAGAACGTTAAGGAGTATGTCGAGACGAAAATGGCAGCTATGCCTCTAGCTCCTATGGAAAGTGAATCTGACGAAGTAACTGACTTCGGATGGATGCCTGGAGCGGAAGATATGACGGACTTCTTCCAATTCCTAGACGACGCATGGATGTCGGATATCCTACCAGTAGACGCTCAAGTCAGTACAATGGCAGAAACTTGATGTGCAGTATGAAATGGGTCATTAGGAAGTCCGAATGTTGTGTGATTGCGGCGAGCGGAGTGATTTTGAGAAAAAGTTATGTTCCGGCCCCGCTTCAGCCAATAAACAACTAATCTCGAACGGAAACGGAGTTGCATCGCGCAAAAGGCGCAGCACAGGTACGTATCATAACTTCGTAATTACAGCTCAGGAATTCTTCTCAGCGATTTCATCATATATATCTGCTGACTTCTTCAGTTGTTGAATCCTATGCTACTGTTAATAGATTGTCGTTTGCTCTGTCTACTTCAAATTCCTTAATTTAGCTCATCTAACACCACAAAATCGTCGAAAAGTCAAGATGAAAAAAGATGATAAAGCCGCCTCCCCGCATCCTAGCCCTCCAAATTTCGATTCAACTCCTGAAACCCAGCTTAATGGAAAGGAAACCTCCCTAGACGACCCTACAAATACTCCCATCGACGAGGAACATGAATATGTCACCGGATACAAACTCTTCGTGGTGATCGGTGCAAGTACTGTGGCTGGGTTTCTCATGTTTCTGGACACATCAATTGTTGCGACAGTAGGCCTAGAATATTCCCCAGATACTATTTTCATCTCTGCTGACAGTGACAGGCTATTCCTAGAATCACCAGCGACTTCCATTCCCTCAGGGACATTGGCTGGTATGGAACTGCCTACCAATTGGCCAGGTTAGTTATAACACTCAATTACATTATTGAAAGCTAGCTCACCCCCTATTTCAGTTGTGCATTACAACCATTGACAGGGAAATTCTACAACCAGTTTAACACAAGGGTAATTCTCAATTCCCGAGCTTTTTGAAAAGAATTTGCTGACTGGTGACTTGGGAAGTACACCTTTATATTCTTCATGGTTCTGTTTGAACTGGGCTCCCTACTTTGCGGTGCAGCTAGTTCATCGAAGATGTTGATCCTAGGTCGAGCCGTTGCTGGAATGGGCGGATCAGGCATGATGAACGGCGGATTGATGATTCTTCGTGCTTGTGTTCCTAACGAGAAAGTTGCTGCTTACCTCGGCGTTATGTTAGGCAGTAAGTCTCTCTTATTAACATTGAGAAAGCCATTACTGATTCTTTGACAACAGTTTGCCAGATGGGTGTTGTAATGGGACCACTAGTTGGAGGCGCTTTGACTCAGTATGTCAGCTGGAGATGGTGTTCGTATTCCCCTCAATCACAACTGTGCAGAAACACCATTCAACTGACACGCCATAGGCTTTTACATTAACCTACCATTAGGTGGACTAGTGGTTTTTGTCCTCTTCTTAATTACCATCCCCGACCGTCGTCCCAAGAGCGAAATCAAAACCGGCATATGGACCATTCTCCGCTCCTTCGACATTCCGGGCTTTGCAATATTCGCGGCAACAACAGTCATATGCCTCCTCGCCCTCGAATGGGGCGGCACAACATACAAATGGACCAGCGCCAATATCCTAGGACTATTCTGCGGATCTGCAGGTGCACTTGTAGCGTTCGTGCTGTGGGAATACCGGCAGGGAGACGCAGCTATGATCCCACTTTCGGTGCTCGGGCAACGAATTATCTGGTCTAGCTGCCTCACATACTTCTTCCTCTGCGCAAACATGATGGCCATCAGCTTCTACATGGCCATCTACTTCCAAGCCGTGCGCGGCAGAACGCCGACGATGAGTGGCGTGAATATCCTGCCTTCCATTCTTAGCAATATGTTCTTTGCCGTGTTCTCTGGCCTCCTAGGTTCGTTCCATACCGATCCAACTCAGAATACATACTGACAAAACAGTCGGTCGCTGGGGCTACTACCTCCCCTGGGTGATCGCCAGCGGGGCCATAAACTCTATCGCCACTGGCCTCCTCGCAACCCTATCTCCAAACTCCTCAACTTTCCAATGGATCTTCTACCAAATCATCGCGGGTATCGGTCGAGGATGCGGTTTCCAAATGGCAAGCCCCTCCCCTTCCCTCTCCAAAATCAAAACATCCAACTAACTAACAAACCAAGCCTCTCGTCGCAGTACAAAACCACCTCCCCCCCTCAACTGTCTCCGTCGGCGTCGCCGCCGTCGTATTCTCGCAAGCCTTTGGCCCAGCAATATTCCTCGCGTTCGCACAGACCGTCTTCTCTACCTCCTTAATTAAGAACTTGCACACTCTTGCACCATTAGTTGATCCGGAGCAGATTTTCCAGGCTGGAGCTAGCGGGTACCGGGATGTTGTTCCCGCCGTGGATCTGGCGGGTGTGGTGTTGAGTTATAGTAAGGCGATTGATGATGTGTTTTTCCTTGCCCTCGGGGCTGCGGCTGCGGCGTTTTTTGTTTGTTGGGGTATGGGGTGGAGAAGTGTTAAAGGTACTATGAAGGCTGTGCCGGAGGTGTGAGAGGTGACTTTTAAAGGCTTCGCAACAGGCAAGCTTGCTAATATACACTATGTACTAATTAATTGGTTACGATTTCATTTGGTGTTATTATAGGTAGGGGATTCAAGATACAAGGTTAGACCAGTTTTCAAATCACTCACGCTCTAATAAAGTCTCAATGTGCCCCCTGTTCTTTGGTTTATTCTTTGTGGCAGCTGTACAGCTCTACTTTCATCGACTCAATGACACATTAGCTTCCTGTTAATAACGACGCAGTGAGCTTTTGGTTCCAGCTAAGGCTTGTTTGCTGAGGTTGGCCTTCAACTCTACTTCCCAATCCCTATCTTTGAATGAAAGGCTACGCGTAAGATGCGTGAGATACTTTGAAGTTACTTATCTTATAATATATATTTGTTCTAGTATTAATACAATCTATCACTAGCCCAGACAAAAGAAAAAGGCAGTTTCCAATATATCTAATAGCCATAAATATATGAAACAAAGCTTTTCAATACACCCAACGATGTTGCTTATAGCTGATACGCCTGTGTCGCCCTCCTCTTATCCCTCTAGCGCCAAACATAAAGTCAATCACTTCAAATCATTTCAAGAATAAGGCACTAGTATCCATTGCTGGCCTAGACCAGAGGTGTACATTTTGTTCACCAAAACAAGCGTCCCATTTGTCGAGAAGCCATCATTGTGCTCGAGAGCCAGCGTCGGATAAGCCTTACTCTGAAAACTGTGCAGCAACTTTATTCAGCACAATTTTTACCTTAAGAAGGACATGAGAAAGGCATACCTGATGCTATTATCAGAATTATGCGGAATCGTGAATTGCGAGTGTGGATCTTGAGGGTTTTCTGGTACCGCACCGTTAGGCGATACCCGGTGTCGTCACCTCGAGGCCTGGTCATGTTTAGTTACGAGGAAAGAATAAGGGCAAGGAGTGGACTCACCGGTCAGTGCTGTCATATATGCAAGGCTCCCTTGGTTATAGAGGGTCACGACGTTGTTTCCTAAGTCTGAAAGTAACCATATTTGGCGCGCCGCCCTGCTTTTCGAAGCATTTGAATGCTAGGACCTATTTTTTTCAGCTTGCGTTAAAAGTTTATTCTCTTGCTTATTAGTTTAATGGAAGAGATGTAATGTAACTCACGAGCATTCGACCTCCGTGTCATCAGTAGTGCCTCCATTTTGAAGCTTGATGGCCGTGATCGTACCAGCGTTAATGATGCGATAGGATCCTGGCGAAGTGCTGAAAGGCTGTATAGAAGTAGTAGTAGCAGACGAAACCGTTGTCGAGGCGGTTTTGGAAGTTGTAGCTGCAACTGGAGACGCAGAAGAACTGGTGGTATGCTCCGGCGCACCGCCGCTCTCATGCCTGCTTGAAAGCCCCCAGCCTAGTCCTCCCCCAAGGGCCGCTCCAAGTACCAGGATTGCAACTGCAAGCACGATCCAAAATAACTTACCAGAGTGGATTGTGTTTCATTGTACCAATTGCACTGAGAAGAGACATTGTTCACTCACGTGTCAATTGGCCGTGGGCTAGTGTGAAAATTTCGCATTTTTTGTCATCTATGGTATCTTTTCGCTCTCTCTATGCATTTCTCATAATCTCCACTAACGCCAAAAAGGGACTCGCTCTATCCAGCAGTAGCAAAGCACCAATCAAAATCTATTCAAGCAGATTCTAGAAAAACGCCCCCTCAATCAACGACACCGTTCCAGCCCTCTTTACAGAGAGCCCACTCGACAGCTTCCAGAATATCCTTAATAATAACCTTCGGCGCATACTTCGGCTTGCTGCCCTTATTATAGACGCCCGTCTTGACCAGAATACTTGTCCACTCCGTGCCATAAGGGCTCTCGAATTCGTTTGCATTGCGGATATCGCTCTCAGGATTATCACCTACCATAAAGACTTGTTCCAACCGACTGACTTTCTTCTTGACCTTACCGTTTCCGCCGAGCATTTGGAGGCGATGCTTGTTCAGAGCTCGTTTGGCGTATTTATAGGTTTCGGGGTAGGGCTTTCCGATAATAGTTCGTTCCAGAACGGCCCCACCGGTTATCTCGTCCCAGATATCTCGTAGCGAAGCTTGGAATCTACCTTGTCCGAGACGAGGTATATAGTGGCTAGTAGCCCAGAAGAGATCAGGGTTAGAGAAGAATAGCTTAGATTAATCGTCTTATTACCAGCTATTATTCGGGAAGAAGGGGTCTCCGTTCTTCTCAGAAACCGTATCTAGAACTTTATTCTTGGAGAGTAGAAGATCGAGTATGATTTGTGAATCGAGAGCCTAATTGCGAGGGTCGTTAAAGACGAATATATTATCGATCTTGAGAGATTTGGACAGGTTTATATAGTTGATATTAGTAGGCAGAGGGCGGAAGTATAGACTGAGGTGAAATTGACTGCAAAACTAAAGGGCCAGATACTTGGGTATACTATAAGGATATTAGTAGAAGTAACTATATTAGTAAAGCCGCACCTGGAGGATTAATTAACCCGTAGCCTTTATATCTAATACCTATATAGAAAAGAGGGAAACCTACATTTTAGTAACCTTTCTATACTTCTTGCCATATCCGCCAGTAACCAAGATGGTCTTATCCCTCAAGCTCTCGACCGTCTCAGAACCCTTAATAAGCTACTTGAACGGCGTATGAGACTAGATAAAGTTCTCCTTAGTTAGAGGAACGCCCAACTTCTTGCTCAACTCAGTAACCCTGGTACTCTCGTACTTGCCACCGCCATTTGTTAATAGGATAAAGGATATATTATTATAGTACAAGTACTCGAGTATAGTTACCGCGCCTGGAATAGGGACTAAGGATCATAGAAGGATACCATTAATACTACGGGCACAAAGAGGGTTAGCTCCGGCTCATTCGGGCCGTTAGTAGAAGAAGAGACTCACTCGAAGGCAAAGGCAAAGCTGGGCATTCCTTCGACTGCTACAGCAGTGCTACTGTTTCGATGATGACGGGTGAATGGGGCCATTCTAATGACAGTACGCGGCGATTGTCGCAAAAGAGGATGTGGTGGTGGTGGGGAGGAAGATATTGAGGAATTGGGTCGCAGGCCCAAGGCTGAGGCGGAGCTTTGTATTGGGTTCTGATTACGGACTCCCGCAAGCATATTCGGAATCCGATTCTGACTCTCTGTACTCGATGCCCACGGCTGACAAATAAGGTGTTTGGGGATAGTAAATTGCGTCCAGAATGTCCTCAGGAGACTAAATCTGCCACTAAATAGCCGGGGGAGCCGGATAGTAACCACAGGCACCGCAAAGCTTGGGACTCCCATTGCGGCACCAAACTTAAAATAACCCTGCTCTAAATTTGGTATTCTTCAAGATAGAGCGTGATAGTTATAGATTTCTTTACATAAGCAGATAAACCAACGACCCCTATAGCTATTCTGGGACGCATCTTACACACGCTTGGTAACTATTAAGAATAGGGTTACAAATCTGTACTAGTAACTTTACTAAAGGAATTTTATTATCTTTTACAGAACTTATTTGATAATAATGTAATTCTTAACCAAAAAATAAAACGCTCTATATCCCGGGAATTCCCAATATCAAGTGCCTTAATATTTGTTATTAATATTTTATTTTTACTAATATTTGACTTCTATTATTTTAAAAAAAGAATATAGAAATAGCTAAAAAGCTAAAAGCTATAGGAAAAACTTAATTATATAGCCTGTTTACCTCTCTTATATAAACATTATAATAGTAATAACTAATAGTATTATTAAAATAATATAGCTAAAAGTTCTCTAGCTATAATTAATTACTATTTCTTTTTCTATCTAAATAAGAAATTATAAATTCTGGATCTTTTTTTATACTTTATATAAAATAATAGTAAATACTAATAAAAATAAATAATATACTATTTTAGAAACTAAAGAAACCCCGAATTTTATAAAGAAATATATAAAGGAAAATAGATAAATAAATATAAGAAAAACTAATATTATATTTATAATAAAAATAAATTCCATATTAAATTATAAGTAGTATTTAATATTAATTAGGTTAATTGTTACTAATATTTCTATTAGAGGCTAAAATACCTAAAAGTTATTTATAATAAAGCTTATAATAACTTCTAATATAATTCTAGATATTATTAATAAAAATTTAATATATTATTATATATAATTAGCAAATTCTATATAGAAATCTTTTATATTTAGTAAATAATTTAAGGGAATTAATTCCTTAATAATAGCTATTATAGCTATTATAATAATATTTTATATATTATTAATTATAGTTCTAATAACTATAATAAATATATTTATTATATTCTGGGCTTTATTTCTAAGAAATAAAATAAGATTAAATACTAAATTCGCGATTAATTTAGCTAATATATAATCTGAAAAATAAATATTAATAAAATTAAATTATAATAATTATTAGCTAATACTAAATAAATTAAAAGAAATTAGCTTCATAATAAAAGTAAAACTTCCAGCTTTCGTAATATTATTTTATTTTAATAATAGAATTTTCTTTTATATTATTCTATATTTGAATTATTTTAAATAATTAGCTTTTAGGATTCTATAAATAAAACTTTTATATAATAAATACCAAAATCTCTCTTTTCTAGAGAATTATATATTAGAATATAAAAGGCTTTTATTACGATTTTTTAAAGCTAGAAAATAGTTTCTTAAGGCTTTTACTAGTTATAAATATACTAAAAAAAAACCTGGCCTTATATTACTTTTATTATTATTTTCTTTTAATAATAAATAATTCTAAGATTTACTTATATTATACTAGATATTTACTACTGTTTTTATAGGCTTATAAATACTATTTATAAGACCTATATAGCTTAAATAATTCGTATTTCTTTTTTTTATCTTTAATTTATTTAATTAGTTTCTAAAAACAGTAATATACTCGAATTACTAATTAATATCTTATTTTATAAGAACTTAATTCAAATATTTTATTTATTTCCTAATAATAATAATAATAGTTAATTATAAATATTTCTATAAATAAGCTAGCCTTATAATACTAGTAATTAATTTATTAATTATTTATTATAGTTCTAGTTAATATTTTAAAAAACTTTTTTATAAACTTATTTATTATATAATTTCCTAACTTTCTTTTATATTTCTAGCTAGTTTCTAAATATATAACTAGTTTATTTATAGGTTACTATATAGCTTATAGAGCCTTCTATTTTAGTTATATAAATAATTATTTTAAGGCCTATTATAAAGAAAAATTATATAATATTTCCTTTAGTCTATAAGCCTTTTTATATTTCTTTTATTTCTTTATAAATAATAATCTGCTTTATTAGGCCTTTTAAATAAATGTCCGGATATATAATTATATTTTTACTTTTATATTACTTAAGTATAAAAAGAATATATAAATTAATTTCTTTTATAAAATCTAGTATTTTTAGATTTATAATAAGCTTTTTTATTTCTAAAGCCTATTATAACCCGCTTTATATATTAAATCCTTTTTTATATAATTCTTCTTTTATAATCTGCTTTTTATAACTAATATATAAGCTATTAACTTTTTTTGCTTAAATTATATAATTCTTTTATAGCTTATAAATATACTTATAAATTATAATTTATTTATTATAATCTATAAAATAGCCCGCAAGTATTTTATAAGCTAATAAATTAATTTCCGGATCTTATTTAATTTATAAATATACTTAATTATTATTATAAGAACTTTCTAATAAATAATAAAGTTATAGCTCTCATTTCGAATAAGTATATAAATATAAGCTATTATAATCTAGTATTTATAATTTATAAAACAAGTTATAAATATTTATAAAAATATATAATTAATATTATATATATAATATATATATTATTTTATTATATCTTATTTTTTCACATAATAACCCGGACTAGTATTATAGTTTATAATTATAGAACTATAATAGAATTTATTAATAGATATAGCTAGAATAATAGGTTTTTTACTAGTATTATTTCTATATTTATCTAATCTTTTTCTTATTTTTTTATACTAGTTATTTCTTTTAATAATATATTATTAATATATATATTACTTATAAAACTATTTTACTCGACTAGTTCTATTTATATTAGTAAAATATTCGTATAAATATTTATAAAAAACTTATAAATACTTTAATTTATAAGAATATTTATATAAATAATATTAGCTATTACTTTATTTTCTTATTAAGCTTTATAAATAGTAATTATTTTATATAATAGCTTCTTTATTACTTTTATAACTAATATATACTAGCTTGAAATTATAAATTATTTTTTAAATAAATAATAATTAATTAATTATCTAAATCTCTTTTATTAAATCTTTATTCTAAAAATATAAGAGCTTTTTATAAACCTTAAGAATTACCTTTTTAGATAATATATAAGCTATATTCATATAATTAAATACTATAAATATAGCCTTTTATATATATATTTACTTTTATTTCTTAAAAGAAATATTATTTTCTTAATTTCTAATTTAGTTAATAAAATTATTTATATTAAGCTTCTAGATCTATTATAGAATTTTATAAGTAAACTTATAGCTATAATAATTAGCCAAATATCTTATAAGCCTTATAGCCTTAATAATAATCCGAAAGCCCTATATATAGTTTATAAAATACCTAAAGCCTTATTTATATATTAAAAGAGGTTTCTTAAGATATTTATAAAAATAGATATCTCGAATACTAATATTAAAATAATAGCTATATATTTATAGTTTATAAATTAGGCTTTTTAAATCCGGAAATTATTTATAATAATTACTGAATTATTTCATATAATAATCGGACTTAATATTATACTAAAGAAGCCCTTTCCTTTAGTTAGAGGAGGCAAGTTATTCCGGGAAAGCAAAATATCCCGTATTAAATAAAATCCTTAATAACTTGAAACCTTAACCTTTTTAAATAATTCTAAGTAATAAAATTAAAAATATAAGCCTTATAAACTAGATATAATTCTCTAAATCTTAAAAAAAGATGTGAGTAGAGAGTTATTAAAGTTTTAATAATAAAATTACGCAAAATATAAAATTATAAGAATTATTTATTTATAACTATTTTATAAGTATTAGATCTACGACTTTTGCTTAATTATGAATTTTTATTCTTTTACTTAAAACTTTAGCCCTTAATTATATAATAGATAATTATAAGATCGCGAATAAAATATATTAATTAAATTTTCTATAGCTAGTTTCTAGTATTATTTTTTCAAAAGGCAAAAAAGGCTGGTACGGGATATCTTGCTTTCCCGGGACAACTTGCTTTCCCCGACTAAAGGGAAGGCCCCTTTAGCGCGACGTCAATTCCGACTATTAGAGATCCTAAGACACCGCCAGATTGTATTTCAATATGACCTAAGGGGACCTCCTCATTCAACATATCTGTAGTTGTTTCTAGCCCACGCCCTCTTCCTTCTTTCTTCCCCTCCCTCTTCTTTTCTTGCGTTCTTAGGTGTTCTTGTTATTTACACCGCCACACTACACCGCCACAACCGAGGGGGAAAGGCGGTCATTTAGGACAAATAGGAAGACTACATTTAGAATTGCTTTTTGGGCACCCGCGAAGGCCAAAAGAGGTTAGCTCATAATTCTGTGTGCTTAAACCTTTTCAGCTCCAGCCTCGTCCCTCATCAACACTTCATACCTCTTGATCATGGAAACAAGTGGCGATGCCGCCCCGCTGGGGACTTTGAACGATCGCAAATACAAAGTACGCAGATTGAGACACTTGAGGTGCTGCGTGGGATTCGTGGATTGCTGGAGAAGATCGATGGACGGCTGGAGGATCATGGGAGGAGGTTGACAGATATTGAGACGAAGACCACCGATGAAAGGGGAAAGGGAAAGGAGAAAGAGATAGTGGATCAGGAAGAAAAGGGCAAGGAGGAAGAAAACTTCCCCGAGAACGAGGATGATGGTAAGTTTGCTAGATGGAAATATGACTGCTGGGCATAACCTTTTCTGCTCATAGGCGGCGACTCGATGAGTTCAACGAGCTCAAGTCTTTCTGTTGAAGTTATTGATGGAGATGGTAGATTCCCCATTCCAAATTCTTCGGATTCAATTTGAGATGACCCTTTTCCTTCATCTCAGAAGTCTACAGAAGTCCAGGCAATTCAGAGTCCTGGAATAAAAAGCATGGGATTACGATACTGCCATACAAACCGAGTACGTTGTTGCCAAAAGCCCTTACTAAAAATGCCATCCACGAATACAGATCCTGGAGGCGTGATATTCCTCCACATGAATGGCCTAGTGAGGATATTATCACAAAAAGGTTGCACAATTACTGGGCCGTTCCCTCGGATGGGCGGGTTGGACTGGGGTTTATCAAGGAAGTTATCGGTCGCGCAGATGACTGGGAGGAAAGGGTTAAGGAGGTAGAGCAATTTGTCGCTGATCTCGCTAAGATTGGCGCAGAGTTCCATATCGTGGACGATGGGCTAAATTATACTCGATGTCACTTTCAGCTGCCAAGCCGAGCCGAGGATCCGCAGACTCTAATCCGAAAGGTAGAATGCGAGGGATTGTACGGACGCCAACAGACAACACTCAGCATAATCAAGAGGTTTATGCACCTTTGCCACTCAGAGTTTCTGCAATGATCGAACGGTTAGTTGCTAGCGTGGAGAGTGTTGGGGCGCGACCCCGTTGGGTGAACTCTATTGCTCCTTGGCGGAGAACAATGTGAGTCCAATTCATAAAACATCCCGATTGAAATCTAATTACTTAACCCGCTAATATCTCTATCAAGTGTCCTTACCGAGAGTCCCGAGTCTCTGGCCTTAGGGGTGTGTTTCTCGGAGCCCCCTTACGGATCTTTAATCGGCTTCAACAAGTGGTTAAGTCGACAGCCCCGAAGCCTTCCATACCCACAGATATTTTCCAATCATACCAGCATATCCGGTCCTGAGAAGATGCATTTCTCCCTTCCTTTCTTTGAAATTCTCCCTTCCAACAGTTCTACAAGCCTTCACGCAAGAACCTCTCAACCGGTCGTTGAAGACAAAGATACGGACCATTGGAGATTTGGTAAACTCTATGGAGACAAGTATGGAAGATTTCTCCGATACGGAGCTTTCAATGTATGGATCGCGCTCTGTCTTTTCCTAAGGAGGTGCTGACTCGCTTCAGATACTTTCTACGATCGACTACTGTGTCGAGCCCAATATATTCACTTCACAGATGTCTTGGCTAGGTGTAACAGCACCTTTTTGGACCATCATAATCCTAGGGTCGTTTAAATCAAAAAGGCACCCTTTCATGGACCGTCTCCAAACCGACTATGATTTAATCCTGGACGAAATGACAAGGATCATTCACGACCTGCTAAAACAAGTCGAACTCTGTTGGCGCCAAATTCGTGACCACTTAACTTCTCTGATCTCAGAAAATGCTAACTTTATGGAAGGTGATAAGTATGTGAAACTTCTGTTTGAAGACGAGTCTTATACACGGTCAAGGACATATTTCTGGATCCTGGGTTGCCTACCCGCCTTTGAAAATACTATTGGAAAGTGATCGATTTATTGATGGAAAATCGATATATTGGAGGTTGACAATCTGTAGAATGACTAGATACAGGAGAGTGAAGTGTAAAAACAGAGGAAAAGTGTCTAAAGTAAGGGATTTATTCCCATTACCCTTCGGCGATACCGGTGATGCCGAGCCCGCTTTCTCCGATATATTATTAATCAGCTGATAAATCAAAAGTAATCAAAATGACGATATACTAGTAAGCTTGGTAAGCTCAGCGAGTGACGCATGACAAATGAGAGTGGAGAACCCTAAATTAGTGGTTGAACCTGGTGCTGGAAGGACTGGTGAGCTAGCTATGGTAGCGTACCAGTTTCAACAAATACCATCCGAGATACTATGAAGCACTGGGAAGTTTTTCAAGATAGCCATATTACGCGAATTCAGGATGGCCCTGAACATCAAGATACTGCAGCTTGTGAAATGGCGAAGGATATTGGTATACTCATGACCTCCCTCGACCAAATCAAAGGCGAGTTCGGCGCAATGCGTACACAAGTTACTCTTCTCCGCGACGGTGTACGTTTTACCTGTTGTCCCCCACAAAAGACTATCTGCTAACTTTATCTCCAGCTCTTCAATGCGAGCTCAGTAGTAGAGAGTCGGGCCTCCACCAGATTAGGTGAGAATGTAAAACTTCTCACCTACGTGAGCATTTTCTACCTACCGCTCGCATTTTGTGCGGTATGTCTCCATCAATCCAACCTCGGGCATCCAAAAGCTGATTAATTACTATATTTCATAGGCACTCTGGGCAATTCCTAATATTCTTGAACTAAGCACAAAAGTTGCATTTGTCGTCACATCAATTGTCGTCGGGGCGATTACCTACGCGATCGTCTTCAATCTCGACAGTTTGGCTGACAAAGGGTGGAAATTGTACATACCCGTCAGAATAAGAGTACTGCACCGCATGGAGACAGGAAATTGGGGGGAGGAGAAGGATGAGGAAGGGAAATTACAGAAGATGGACAAAGTCGAGAAGAGTAATAAGGAGGATACCAAATCTTCCTCGCAACCGAAAGCCGAATCATGGACTGAACACGCCAAGAGGTTTCATTCTTTTGGCCCCGACAGAGACAGGGTCAAGCCCTCGGAATGGTGGATTCTTCTGTGAGTTGGGAAACTCCCATGGGGGCTGTGACACTCGCTTACCTCAATACTAGGTATCTGCTCTTCCTGGCCTATTCTTGGCTACTTGTTGCTCCATCTAAATCTCTAGTACGTTCTGTGGACAAACTTTGGTGCTGGCTCAAGAGTCCGAAAAGGGTGTCCGAGAAGGTGAGGGGCAAAATGCCAGCAGATGACGAGCCTGAGCTGCAGATTAGACAGCGAGAAACTGTCTAGTAGCTCCCTCACTTAGTTCTTAATGAAAGCTGAGCACTCGCCTAACTCCTAAGGCTTAGACTAGGATTTTATCAGACTACGTGGAAAGTATTCCTAGTGAGCAGGTAGAATAGACCGGATTTTCTTCCCCTTTACTCAAGTATCTATCAGAAATGGTATCAAATCTGAACTCCTCGCACAGAATCGCGAACCCCTGAGCTCTTTTCGAGGAGAAAGCTCTTTGCTTCTGCGAATAGTTTATTCCATCTAGAGATAATATCAACAAGCCAACCTAGGACATTTATATAATCGTAAAAGTAGCTACTTCTGCATTGTCTTTCAAATCAACGGAAAGCAAATAAAACCGCGCCATGCCGACTCTTTCATATACGTCTTTCTGTCTGTCTGATAGCATTAAAAGAAGCCCATGGTACTGATTCTCATTCTCGCCAAAGAATAACCAGCGCAAATTCTGTGCGTAATAGGGCATCTGACGGATTCCTATTGGCAGGGAAATGAAAGAGATATCTGGCTCGACGCGGACCTTCGTTTTATACCCTTCAAATTGTAGTAGTAGTGTGCTCTCGATTTGTCCTGTAATTATTACTTCTGTTTCAATTTCAGCTGCGGACGGTGTCAAAAACGCTGCCTTTAAGACAATGCGTCCTCCCTCCGCGACTGTCCCATATGGATTCTTCCCAGCGATGGGGACTGAAGCACTGATGAGTTCTAGCCGGTTGTCTTGCCGCAGTGACTTGGTGAATACGTATGTTACTCGAACTCCTCGATGCCCAGTTTGCGGTGAATGTAGCCTGTCCAGAGATGCCCAAGACCAGGTCGGGGCTCGGTACGGCAATCGCCTGCATGCTTTGGTGCCATCAGCAACAATCCAGGATAGGCCTCTAAAAAGGCAATTGCGCCATAAGCCTGCCAGGTATTCGCTCTCTAGTTTTGCTTGGAACTGCTCTGCAATGCCAGAGAGTGCTGGTAATTTGTCTGAAGGATGACTGGCATTCAGTCCGGAGTACTGCTGTACGACTGAGAACCACTGCTCTGAGAGGTCTTCTCTGGTAAGACCTGCGCCGAATGTATTGGGCCGGAATTTATCGATTGGTTTGCGGTCGAGACCACCGCACTCGCATCGCGAAGCAGATATGCATTCCCATAGCAGCTCTGTTGCATGAAAGTGAACCGTCCGAGGGGCCAAAAGGCGCTCCTTTAGGTAACGGAGTAAGCGATGTCTCAAATGGGGGGTTGTTTCGGGAAGGGACATTGTTTTAAGAGAGAATCATAACACGGGGCAAAACAGGAAAAAGGGGTCTCCCCCCACACATACTTGGTAAACCCAAGCCCGAGAGAGCTTTTCTCATGTCAGCCTCTGGGAGTCCATTGAATAGTTAGTTCCAGGAAGCATAAGCACTTACTAGAGGCGATATTGCCGAGGTACCAAAAGAGCCATTTCTCTGTAGAGCCGTGTGCGTTGAATCCAACACAGGGCGCACGTAAATCATGTTAGACCCTAAGTAGGGCTTGGCTATCTTATGTGACTTCACTCTCAATGGAGATGGTTTCTCGACGACTGAGACCAGCCTTTCTTTGAAACATCCCCCTCGGCCTTCTGCAGAGCTCGTGGCAGCAATATTCAGATAAGAGTGTGAGTAAACAGACCCCATCTTGCTTGCTTCAGCTTCCCAATCTTCTTCATCGAGTTGTTTGATGCATAATGAATCAATCCACAGATACCGAATACCGAGATTCCGGGTCAGAGACACAGCGTCTTTAAAGGTCTGCGGTAGATCTTCCAAGGGAATCCCAGCCTTCCTCTGTTCGATGGTATTCGCGGTAGTTGTGATGAGTTGTGCGGGTCCCCAGCAATGACTAAGAGTCATATAAGTTCCTCCTTTGATCCACCTAGTCTCCAACAGCTTAATTGAATCTTGAGCAGCTGGATTTCCCCCCAGATCTAGTACACGTGTAGGAAGAATTGTGCTGCGGCTGTGATAGCCGGCGCATCCATCGTGCTCCTTGCAACCATCAAGCCATTTGTTAATTGTGCGGCAAGCGCTGTCGACATCGATTGTTTCGGGAACAAAGCTTGCGGCTCCAAAAGCAGTCCATGGAACGGGCTGGCCTGGGCAAGTTAATAAATTTCTTATCTTTCTCAGTAACGAGCCTGCAGCCTTTTGTTTGCTTACCTGCCAACGTGAATAATTCTAGCCATATAACTGCAGCCTTTTCATGCTCTTGTATTCCTACTTCCAATGGATATTTAGGAGGATTACACCGGAACCAAACTCGTGTATTCGGCCCACTGCGTGCGAAAAGACTTTGAGAAACATCAATCCCTTCAAGCACAACGGAGCATATCTGGCAGCCTCCAGAGGCAGCCTCCCGAAGGTCGAGGTACTTGGCAACTCGGCGGTAGCCTGTTAACAATTTCCTGCTCGCTTGCCAAAGGTCTGTATGATTGACGTCAAGGTTATCACACCCAAGGCACCCCGTAGTTGTATTTCCTTCTGACATCGTGGTATGGGGTGACGTTCGAACTTGCTCGCAGTTGAATTCTGGATAGGAGCTTCAGAGCCAAGCTAGCTGTGTTCCGTGGATTTCGATGCCTTGGTGACAACCCGTAAGCGCCGAGGCACTGTCGGAACCGCTCGAACTAGGGAACCAATCTGCACACCCATATTGTGATCTGTGGCTGAACTAGTGTTCCACAACCCGCCGAATAACTAATTGGTACAAAGTCACATCGTGTCACACACACAACTAAGTTATTGGTTGAAATATCCCGATCAACCAGCTAGGCCTCATTGCTAGCAGCTACTAGAGGCATGGTTTCGGGTATCACGCGGCGTAACTAGTTAGGATTTGAACGAGACTTATAACTCTAATCAGAAATCTACAAGCGTTTACGAAAATAGCTTTCTGAAATCCTCCAAAGGCATGTCCTTACGATCAAGCAAGTCAAACTATGGGGGTATAATGTGAGGTGAACAAGAACGGAGAAACTCATGTTTAATTGCCATTCAGCATACAGAAATAACTCAACGGTATGATTTGCGAGTAATGTTCTCACTTCCTTTCCCGAGCAAAATTCCTTCCTCTCTTAAAGGAGTGTGCGCCTGTGATAGGCTGATCACTCTCACCTTGAACTGCAATAGCAGCACTATCGAGCATAGCAGCAAAATCAGCATTGTACCACTCGGTCATGATGCTTGGATCTTCTTCTTCTTCGTCCCGCAAGTTGCTCAATCCTGGTCCTCCATCCGAGATCACTTCAACTTCTCCCAGATAAAAAAGGCCCAGATCGACGTCTTCTATAATGAGACCTCTATAAATTTCATGCTATGTAGGGAGGATACGAAAGGGAGTAGCACAAAAAGCCTGGCTAATATAATAGAGATCTATTCTAGTAGCAATCATCAGTTTACAGGCCAGGGGCGTTGAAAGTCCCTATAACCTTCAGCTACACTTAGAATGCTGCGAGTAATACCGCCAACGTCTCCCCCTACCAGACTCACAGTCCCGTAGGAACGACCGCATACTTCTCCGCAGTGAAAGCAAGCTTGCCAAGCCTCCTCTGCTCCGCTGGGTCTATATAGATCTTGAGTCCCATCGAGCTTCTGCCAAGCCCGAACACACGGAATAACGCATATACTATACTCTGATTTTCATTTCCTTGAGGACCGTTAGTTGTTCTCTCCATCTGTATCAGATCAGTCATTGTCTTTAAACCCTTCTTGTAATGCACTTACCAAGTCGACCTGATTTTGGCTGACGATAAGCGGCGTTGCACAATCTCCCGTGGTACACTTGACCTCAATATAATATTTGGGCGTCCTGCCCACCCAGTAACCTGTATCCAAGTAGCCCAATAAAACCATTAAGCGTATTAAGACACCATTCGCGTTATCGTAAACGATGTCCGAGGTCTCGTATCCCGGCCACGCCTTCAGACCCGCATATTCAGGAAGAACCCCAGCATACCCTCGGATACTGCTATACCAGTTCTACAGATCAAATCCTAGATCGGGGATACCTGAAAGAATTTTGAACACCTGTACTAATAGTTAAAGATAAAGTAATGGGAATCCAGGGCTACTTATAAATAATTCTCTTACCGCTTCAACTCGTTTTCTGTACTCCCAGTTATAGGCATTAGTATAATAGAATCCTTGAAAGGGGTTATCTCTAATTAATAAGCCTTAAAACATAGTAGAAATATTATTAATATTATTAGGCAGGGCTATTTTCCTTACCAAGGCAATAACTCTCTCTAATAGTTTTCAATACTATAGTAGTAACTATTCCTCGGGAATACGGAATTGGAATAGCCATATAAAGTCATTATTATCTGAAATACTAGAGTCGTCCTTACTATTATAGTCTCCAGGGTCTATTAAGGATATAGGGTAATCTGAAACGTTTTCTATACCCGCCAGAGACCGTAATATGGCCGGATATAAAGATATTAATTCTGGGAAAGAGAATCTTTTAATCTCCTATAATCTAGTCGGAGTTCCAGGGAAACGTTTACCTTGGCCCCCGGATCCTGAAATAACTACTATAGTTATACTCTTAGCTAGCTCCTCCATTTCCAGTATACGGGCAAGAGTTTCGGGTATTTCAGGAATTCCTTTTTTCTCCAAAATCCGCCTGGTTACCGAAATAACATAGTTCAAAATAGAGTTAATTATATTAATAGTACTATCCTTAATCTTGCCCCGAGTTCCCGTTATAAGGTTAGTTATTATCTAGAAAGCGAACTAATAAGGCAAATTAAATATAAAATAATATTTCTGGAATTTTATATTTATATTATTCGAAATATAAACTATAAGAAAATTAATATCCTTAATATATAGTTCGCTTTAGCCGTCCTCTATATTATAAATAATACTATTTTATTTAAAGAATAAACTAAATAAAATTACTTTACTCTTAAGTATAATTATAATATAAAGAATATAATAAAACCCTAAAAAATCTATTATATATCTGGAACTATTATAAGTAGTAATAATTCTTTTAATATTAGTTTACTAGTTATATAAGTAAACGGAAATATATTTATCTTAGAAATATATAGGTCTTTCTTCTTAAGTTATAATAGGACTAAAAGATTAGGGCTACTATTTTATTCTCTAAATAAAACGTCTTTTTTATAAACTCGAATAAATATCTATTCTTAAGGCCAGTTTATATAAGAAGTAATTTCAACTAACGGATCTCTTATAATATAAAATCTAGAGCTCTAATTATATCTCTAAATTAGCTAGAAAAGCTATCTTAATTAACTAAAATAAATTATATATTTGAAATATAAAAAATAATATTACTATTACTCGAGTTTCTAATTAGAAAGACTCGTATATTAAATAGCTAAATGGGCCTTAATAAACTTGATTTTAAATAAAGAAATAAATTCGGGGTTTTCTAAAATGCTTTAATTTCTAATATAGGAAAGTTTAAAAGTTTTATTTCGAGTAGCTAATTAAATACTATTATTAAATTAAGCTATAATATATAAAGTTTCTTTATAAAGAAATTCTTGAGATTATTATACTAGATATTAATTATAATTTTTTTATAAATATAAATTATATTAGATTAGATATATTTTAATAATTTATATTACTCTAAAATATTATTATAATTAAAATAAATAAAAGCTTTTATTTCAAAGTATTATTTACTAGTAATTAATTTCGTATTATTATCTAAATAAAATAAAATATCTTATTTTTTATTTAATATATTCTAGAATTAGTAATATTTTAAATAGAATATTATATAGCTACTAAACTACTTTATTTATAATACTTAATTAGCTTTTTAGCTTTTTAAGTTTAGAAATTATATTAACCTAATTAATATTCCCGATTTCTAATATTTTATAGAAAAATCTAATTAGGTAATCTAGTTTAATATTTGAATCCTGAAATAAAGACTTATATATCTCTTTTAAAGAAACCTTAATAATGAATTTATAAGATATATTTCAAAAATAATTATTATAATTTAAATTAATATATATTATTAATATAATTTTTAATTAGTAATTTGTATTTATTAAAAAGCTTCTATTATATTATTAATTTCCCTTTTTTTTAATTCTGGAATATTCTCGAGCAGATATTAATTAACTAATAGAAATTAATAATATATAAAGAATTATCTAATATTATAATATATATATTTGCCTTTTTAAGAAATCTTATTAGTTCTAGCTAAAAGCTAATATTATCTTAATAGCTAATATTCAGGTTCCTAATAAGGAATAATTATAGATATAGAATCTTATTTTAATTAGAAAGCTTAGCTAATTAGATAAATAGAAAATAATTAATTCCGATTTCCTATTACTACTAATAAATCTATATATAATTAAATGTAGAAGTATTTATAATATATAAAAATGTTTTATAATTTAATTATTTTAAATAAATAAAATAAATTCTAAAATCTAGACTATTTTTTTATTTAATATTTTATAAAAGTTCTATTAAGGCTTTTAAAGGGTTTTTTAATAAAAGTAATTAGCTAATTAGATTTCTATATTCTATAAATTATTACTTACTTAAATTAGAAAACTTTATAAAGGAATTTATTATTCCGAATATAAAAGAAATAATATAATATTATTATTTAATAGAAATATTTAAACTATAAAATATAATTAGTATATTATTAATTATAAATTATTATATTATAAAAATAATTACTTTATTAATATATTTTTTAGTAAGCTTTTATTAAAAGTAATCTATTTACTATTTATTAAAAATTAAAAAATTAAAAAAATTAAAGTAAAATATATAAAGAAATAATTTAACTTTTTTAATTCTAGCTCTTTTATTATATAGTAATTATATATAGAATTATATAACTATATTTATTATATTTAAACTTTAGTTATTTATATTATATTTCTTTTTTTCTAAATCTATTTATATATTATTATAATAATATAATTATTAGTTTATTAGTAATATATAGTACTATTATATAAGTCGTAGAATGTTATTTATATATAGTTAATAAAGTTGTTATTATTCCGAAATAGGAATTATAGTATTATAGTATTAATATATAATTCCTAAATCTACTAAGCCTAAAGGGGTCTAGTTTACTAGTCAAGTTACTAATAGGATATAAGGTTATATAACTATATTCTATATCTTATATCCTATTACTTATATCCTATTACCTATATCCTATAACTATATATATAACTTCTAAAGAAATAGCTATACTAATACTAGAAACTTTCTAAAAATGCAAAAAATAGTATTTCTCTCTAATTATATATAAATTCCCTAATCCGGCCTAGTACCAGATTTCCCAAATATTCTATATATTTATATTACTTCCGAGGTTTTAGTTATATATTAAAGGCTATAGCCTTTTATATATAACTTCCTCTTCTATAATATCCTTCTATTTTATATATCTATTTCCTGCTCTATTTATATTTAACCTATTTCTCTATATTTAATTATATGTATTTATATTAATTAGATACTTGAGGGTATTTATTAGCTTTAATTTTATTATAGAATTGGCAGGATTTGATTCTCTCTTAATCTATTTGATTTCTATAATCTCTTATTATTTATATATCTAATAGAAATATATTATATTAATTATTAGATACTTTTCTCGAATAGGTACTAATTTAATAAGGTATTTATATAATAACTTCGAATCCGTATAGATTACTAGTAGTAGTTCTATTTCCAGTATTCTATTAATTATAGATTTGATTAAAGCGCCTATATTAAAGCCGTAAGCCATACTATAAAGTTCCGAAGCTAGAATACTTCTAGTAACTCTTTTATATTTGGTAGAAAACTAGTAGATAATATTAGTATATCTAGTTCTATTTATTAGAACTAGAATATATCCGATTTAGAAAGAGAGATCTCTATTATTTATAAATAAAGTATTTATAAAAATAATTAAATATAAGAACTTTTTTACTAGTTTTATAAATCTCAATTCTCTAATAGTATTCTCAATTTGCTATTAAATATACTTATTAAATACCTTTATATTAGTTTCCGAAAATTTAATAGCTTAAATAGTAATTAATAGGTTATATAAAGCTTCTGATTAATAGACTAATATAATATATATTCCTCTAGTATATTAGGTAATATATTAGTCCTTAATAGAGAGATCTTAATAAATAGTACTTCTATTACTTATAGTAGTAGTATTTTTTATAGAAATGGTTTAGAGGTTTTTATACTAGTATTCCTATATAAAAATAATACTTTTATTAAACTTGAGATTATAGTTAATAATAAGGCATTTATACTTCTTGGCCAAGAACTTAGCCTCCTAGAGCTTTAATTACTCCGTCTTTATAAAATTATTATTTCTAATAAATAGGGTATTATTAGTTTAAAGGCTAATAATTCCGAATAGTTACTTATTATAGAGGAGATAAGAGTTATAAGTTAATTGTTTTATAGAAAGCTTATTAATATAATAAGAATAGTAAGTTTTAAACTAGTAGTTCTCAGCTTCCGGTATATTATATAGTAGTTTTATAACTTTTAGAATCGAATTATTATTTAGATTTAGCTTTCTAATAAGCTTATAAAGTAGATTAATATAAAAATTATTATTAAGTAAGATTATTAATTAGATATAAGTTTATAAAATATTATATAAATATAGCTCTATAATATCTATTATTATAATAGTAATACTAAGGATAATTCTCTGGCTAATATATTAAATAGTAGGTAATTATATTAATATTATATATTTTTTATTATTATTATAAGCCTAAATAACTAGTCTCGACTTCTTAAACTCTTTTTCTATATCCTTATTCTTGATTTTATTAATAAACCGGGAGTTAAAGATATATATCTCTTTTAGTATCTGAGATTTAGGAATAACCTTAAATATATTCTTTTTTAGAAGGCCAGTAATTTTAACTTAATAGAAGTTCTTATATAAATTATTATCTTATAGGAATACTATAATATCCGGATTCTTATAAGGGTATTCTCTACTATATTTTAGTAAAATAGTAGAAATAGTAAAAGAAATCATATTTATATTACTTTTGGCCTTATTATAAAATTCGGAAACAGGTTCAGGTTTGGGGCTATTAGTAATAACCTTAATATCCCTTATATA